CTTTCCTGAAATTTAATCACATAATTTTCCATAAAAATTTTCTCGCTGGTGGTAATCAAACGAGGAATGGACACGTCATCCTTAATGAAACCCTTCAGCTTCAAAATTTTTACTACTGAACATCTAGGAACAATCCTCTTCTTCAAGCTATATCTAAGAATATTCGGGCGCCCAACTATGTCTTCCAATTGCAAACCCACTTCCTCTATATAAAATTTCATTGAGTTTGTGATTTTTTTCTCTGACAAAGCCATGATATTTGGAACCTTATTGAATGCCAAGAGAGCGACATCCCTGGGCCAGCCGAATCTCTCAAAGATATCCAGCTTCAACTCCCAGGTTGATTTACTCAACTTTGTTACAATAACAAGTGCTTCAACAGATGCAGGCTTGAAAGGTTTGATTCCTATTTCCTTGACAAATTTGATATATTCAGCAAAAACTGACTGATTTATAAATGCCACATCTGCATATCTAGATAATAGGGTAAAGACAGAAGACTGAGGCACTCCTTCATCTCTCAAAACCTTAATGTTAGAAGATTGAGGCATTCTACCTCGAGCTTTTAAAACTTCTCCTTACTTTCCAATCATCAATAAGTACACTTTTAAGGGCCTCATAACGGGGAATTATGCGTTTATCCAAGCTATACATTAGTAATGCCGGGTTATAGCAGAAGAGTTCTGGGATTTCATAAGGTGAAAAACCTATAGACTGAATAAACCTTAGCCTGGGCAAAAGATTGTGCTCAACATTTGCCACAAGCACCCGGGGCAAGCATGTCACAATTTTGGATATCTGAGCATTTGAGAATTCAAAGCTTCTGAGAAGATCAAGTACGGACTCGGGTTTATCTGAGTCTTTCAGTTCAACCCTTTTCGATACTTCACTAGCAACTTTGGCAGACATCCCACGTGAGTTCATGAGGTAAGAAACCGTAAATAAATTATTTCCATCTCTAGTTTGCTCTGGCTGGTTTGATGGAGATAATTTTGCAACGGAAGAAAACGAATAGGAAATGTGGGACGCATAGTGATGAAGAAAGCCTAACTGGGTTTCCGTCCGCAGTGAAGAAGATAATCTTGCAATCAGAAAAATTAGCATGAATGATGATGAGAAGAAACTTACCCAATATGGGTGGTCAGTTCCAATTAACCTAGCAAGTGGCACAATTCCTCATTTTCCGTTTGTGCTCGGGAGCTGTAGCCTGTAGAAAGGTTTTCCCACTCTTAGGCGGAGAGTCAGCTAATCTCAGCTGCAACGAACGATGGCATTGAAGAGGAACAAGAGAAGGATCATGGGGGGAAAAAAGTTGCTATTTTGTGGCTGCTCTCTCGAGTTTTAAAAGTGCTTCAAAATGATATTTCTCTGGTCAAATAGTACAGAAAAAGAAATTTTTTAATTCTATTTATAAGTTACTTCATCAATTTTTTACTATGAACGTACTATGTTGTCATCCATTTGTTATAGTGTACATTTCTAGTCTGATCTTATTATAAATCACTTTCAATATATTTTATACAGACTAAAAAAAACCTCAAACTTTATTAATTCTCATTTAAGATTCAATAACTTTTTAATTTTATCCTTCTTTAACATACATTATACTTCTCTGGTCTTATTTATAAGGTAGAGAGAGAAGAATTTTTTGTCCTATTTATAAGGCACTTTATTAAATTTTTAACACGAATATATTATTTTGTGCTTCATTTATAATAGTGCAAATAATTATTCTTTTGAAATGTATATATATTAAATTGAGATAAAGTTAGAAAGTTATTATATTTTAATGAAGAGTTAATGCATTTTAAGAAATTTTTTGGTATGTGTGAAATATGTTGAAAGTGTGTTATAAATACAATTAGAAAAGTACATCATATAAACAAAGTCAACACAATAATAAATAAAGGGTAAAATTGTACATCCATATAAAAAAATTTTCTCAATACCTTACAAATAGGATAAAAAAATGTCTTCTCTTCCTGCCCTATAAATAAGATCAGAGAAGTAGATAGTTATTTTTTTGAAAGATGTATATATTTTGGCAAAAAAAGAAAGAAAGATGTATATATTAAATAAGAGTAAAGTTGAAAAGTTGTTATATTTTAATAAAGAGTTAATATTATTTAATGTTTTTTGTTTGTGTAAAACATATTAAAAATGCCTTATAAATAAGATTAAATGAGTATACATTTTTATGAAGTTATAGGAAAATATTTTAAATGTAAAAAAAATTAAAACATTAAAATTTATTATTTAAAACTTTTGATGCTGAAACAAAAATAAAATAACCTAAATAAAAAGGAAGGAGAAATCTTATAAATCAAAAGAAAAAAAACAATATAACTAAGAAAATTATCTATCTTTTTACAACCAAATTCAAATGATCGAATTTCTTCTTTTTTTAATTTTTGGGCAACAAAATGTTGATAAAAATATTATTAAATTTATTTTTTTAATGATATGCTGCACCTTTAAAATCAAATTATTTACCTTTTTTTATTAATTATAAAAATAAAATCCAATCCTTATATCAAATAGGAATAATAAATTAGTAATAAATCAATTTGAAGATCCTTTCTTTGGATATAATTTTTTTTTTTGGCCAAGCCTTTCTTTGGATATGGATATATAGTAATCCTATTAAGAACAGGAAAACAACTATTTTTGGCCAGACTAGGAATAGAAATTGAAACCTCCTCCCCCCCCCCCATATATAAGAATAAGAGTTCTTTATCTTTTACTGACAAGCTGTTAATTAAGATGATAAGTCATTTTGGTAAGAAATAGAACATAAATTCGAATCCTAACGCATTTGAAGACATTTTTGGACAATAATAGTAAGCACGTTCCTCAATAAGGATAAAATCTTAATTGGCTCCTTTCTGTTAGATACAATCTTATTAGTAACTTAGTTTTCAAAAAGTGGTCAATGAAATCTTATCCTACTTATAATCTTATGATATTGTACAATGCAATGAGTTTACTTTCTATTATAGCTGAAACATATTTTCTATATTCCATGAGTTTTATTTTTGGAAGAATCACAAATAAAGATGGTGAAAATTATAAAATCTTAAATTAAGATTTTTTTTGTCAGAATCTTAAATTAAGATTTATTACAATATTTTAACAAGTATTGACAATAACTGAAGTAAATTTCAAGGATCTGGCAATTAATTTTTCTTTTTTTTTTTCCTCTTTTATTTGGGATGCAAATGAACTTTTCCTCTCCTTCTTTTTTTGGGCATGATTCCTCGACTGGGCTTAACAAATCGAGAAAAATAGGCCAGGCTCAATGAGGCCCATTTGGTCCCCATGCAGGAAAAGGCAAAAAGGACAGCATCTCTAGAAAATTGACATGTGTCTATTTGGCAGTTGTATTTGTTTATTACTTTACTTATATTGGTACCCAGGTATCCAAGAAAATTTTCATTCGTTGAATCACCTTTTCTTTTAATTCCATTTTTCTCAATTCTCATTCCATTCCGTTTCATGTATTAACGAAAATATAAGGAGAACGAAAATAAGTCAGACATTCTATTTTTAATTTATTTCATATTTTTATTGATAATTTTATCTTTGGAATAATCACTCAAAATAAATTATATTTTATTTAGCTTTTCTCAATACCTTCACCCATCAAATTTTTAAAGACTAGAAACATTCCTCTCATACGTCATCCATTGCATGAGAATACTCAATTTTCCCCCTTTAAAACAAGGTTTGAATCCCTGTTAGAAGAGGTATCCACATTTAGTACATGACAGTATCCCAAATAGAATTGCCTCCAACAGGAAGATACCTATGCTTTGGCAAAAAAAAAAACCACTTCAATAAAATAAATTATTAAGAAAAAAATAATGAAAATTAATTTAAATTGTACATAATTTATTAATTATACATCTTATGCATGGAATTGTGCTAAATATATTCATATATGTGTTTTGTGAGGCGATCTTGTATGATGGTCAAACGTATCCTATGCATATCCATGTGTGTGTCTTACTTTTAATATAAAAATAAAATAATATTTTTATTTTTCAAATATGCCAAACATTCTCGTAAAATTTTGACTCACCTAAGTGAAGTTTGTCCTCGTTGCTATTATTGGATGCAGCAAGTAGCAATACTTTACATATTAAACTGTACTCCTTTGTTTCATTATATTTTTTATTTAAGTTATTAGACATAAATTATTAAATATAATAAGTATATAAAAATATGAAATTTTTTCAAGTTTATCCCTCGCTAATTGCGAATAGTATTTTTATGCCTTTAAATAGTTCAAATATTACTTTACTCCAAGAGTAAAACAGAAAAAAAATTATATTATACACTACTTTGTAATTGAGAAAACACAAGTAATGTGGAGGGAAAATGACCCAAAAAAACTGAAAATTATTAAATTATAAATCAGGTTTGGTAAAAATATTTTATTTAATATTGACAATACTAGATTTGATGATAATTTTTGTTGTTGGCATCCCATATTTGATATTTAGTATTTTTTTAAAAGGGTTGTTATGGCGCTTTGCCCTGTTTTTTTAACCAAAAAAAGTACTTGTACTGTGCTAAATAACAGAAACAGTAATGAATAATGATTAAGCTGCAACGCACTGGCACTTGTAAGAATCTTTCCATTAGTGTGTAAGAATCTTTCTATTATTATCAAGTGGAGTAAAAATAAAGTTATGATGTTTGTAAATAGGCGGTGCAATCAAAATGATGTTTGTACCTATTTACCCTAAAAGCTAAAGAAAAAATTAACAAACGTGCAAATCGATGGATATAGGCGGATCGATCTTTATCGGAGAGAATTTTTTAACGTAAATTCCAAGGAAAAATTTTTATTGGCGCTTCTTGTTGCTGTGCGTTTGTCGTCTGCCGTGTGAGTCTCGTAGTTGCGTGGGCACTTCGATTTCTTAAATTGTTAAATATTTTCTTTCATTTCCAGGAACCGCCCAAAGCATCAATTCTCGGTATTCACGCTTTCCGTCTTTCAGGTCAACTCACGCTCATTGGCTGCTTTCTTTTTTGCCCCTTCTCGGTCTTCTCTGAGTTCACACCAGAGAAGACTCACAGCCCAATCAAGGGTTTAAGCATTCTTCTGGCAAAATTATCTCAGTGCTCAGAAGCTCTTTTTCTGGGTTTTGCCCGCTTTTTGAAGCTTCGCTGTGTCAACTTCAGGCTACTGGTGAATTTTTTTTCCCCCCTGAAGATTTGTCTCTGATTCACGTTCTCAGAGTTCATCTTCAACCTTGAGCTAAAGATTGATCCTGTATGTGAGATTTGATTCTATTTTTCCTTTGGATGTATTCGGAAGGTCTATTTTGTTTATTTGCTCTTCCATAAATTTTGTCGGTCAGATGGAGCACTGTTACAGGAAGATGCCAGCTTTTTTTCTTCTGGGAATCTGAGTTTAATTGCTTGGCTTGTACGTGATATTCGGTTTTGTTCTTGGTGACAATAAAACAGTGCCTTTCATTGATTTTGTGCGTTTGAGCTTCAATCCGTCGGGTATGGTGGTTCTGGTTTTGTAATAACCTGATTCGTCAGAATAGGGTTGTTGGGCTAAATTGTGATCAGTTAGTGATGGATAATGCAAACGAAGCATCATCATCCTTGAGTTTTGCATCTTCTTACTTATCAAATGGGTCAAGTAATCCGAACATATCTTCCTGCACTAGCCATGAGCAAGTGGCAAATCCTGAAAATTTAAGCCTCATTAAGCTGAGCGGAAGCCTTGAGAAGCTATTGATAGATACTGAATATGATTATAGTGACGTTGATATTGTTGTTGAGGGCAAACATGTGGGAGTTCATAGGTGTATATTGGCTTCACGTAGTCAGTTTTTTCATGAACTTTTTAAGAAAGGAAATGATGGCTCGGTGAAGGAAGGTAAGCCAAAGTATCTCATGTCAGACCTGGTGCCTTACGGCGTCGTTGGATACGAAGCATTCCTTGTTTTCTTGCATTATTTGTATACTGGAAAGCTGAAGGCGTCACCCCCAGAAGTATCAACCTGTGTTGATGAAAGCTGTGCACATGATGCATGCTGGCCTGCTATTAATTATGCTTTAGAGCTAATGTATGCTTCTTCCAGGTTTCAGATGAAAGAGCTTGTTTTGCTTGTTCAGGTTAGTTGTGCTTGCTTCTTCTTCTTCTTCCTCCTTTTTTTTTTATTTTGGGGGGGGGGGGTGTTGGGACTGCATAGGGGCAAGCTAAAGCTTGAAGCTACTAGTGGGATAGAACCCACGACCTCTCACCAACAAAGGTGCTTGCTTCCTGTTCTAAGTGTATCAATTCGGTTTCTTTCTTGTCCATGCTTTTGTATTTACTTTTGTGCAGAAAGGGGAAAATGAGACAAATCCAGGGCAATAAACTGGAAGTCTGAAATTAACAAATTATATCCTAGTTGAAAAGTCATCTGACCAGGACTGAAAGCCTTGTATTGTAGGACATAACATGATGGGTGATTGAATAAACAACACTTGCTGTTTATAAGATCTACGTGTTTTAATTCTGCTAAGGCTTCCCCATCCATTTTAAATAACAGCTGATGAAGCTTCCCAAAGCTTAGCAAGGACTTATAACGGCACTTGGATGTTTTGTCTTAAAATTATGTTTGTGAGATTTGGAACTTGCTCTTAGTTACATGTTTGTTCTTTGTAATGTGTTTTCAAGTGAATCTACTTGGCATGGCTATGTTTTCTTCAACACATGTCTGCAGTCTTGAACTCTTACAAGTTATTTTTCACTTCTTCCTCCACTGCAGTACCTTTATATGTTTTTCTTCCATATGTGAAAGTGATAGCGTACTCTTACCTTTTTATTTTATGTCACTTGTGGAGCATTTTATGTCAACTAAAGAAGCCAATCAAAACCTTTTCCCCCTTAAAGATAAACTTCAACGTATCCAAAACGGATCTAATTTGTATATCTCTCAGCGGCGTCTTCTCAATTTTGTTGAGAAGGCTCTTGTAGAAGACGTGATTCCTATTCTTATGGCTGCCTTCTACTGCCAACTGGACCAGCTTCAGTCACATTGCATCCAGAGATTAGCAAGATCTGACCTTGAGAACAGAACTTTGGAAAGAGAGCTCCCACCTGAAGTTTTCAGTGAAATAAAATCACTCCGTCGCAAAGTGCTGGCAGAATCCACTCCTGATGCAATGGAAATGGAACCTTCAAATGAAAGAAGTGTTACAAAAATCCTTAAAGCATTGGACTCTGATGATATTGAGCTGATGACTCTTCTTTTGGCCGAGTCCAGTGTCACTCTAAATGATGCTTATGCCCTGCACTATGCCTGTGCCTATTGTGATCCTAAGATTGTGAAAGAAGTTCTTAATCTTGGGTCGGCTGACATAAACCATACAAATCCCCGAGGATATACAGTTCTTCATGTGGCTGCAAGGCGCAAAGATCCAACAATTTTAGTAGCACTGTTGACTGAAGGGGCCTGTGTATCAAGTGTGACACCAGATGGACAGACAACTGTTGGAATTTGTCGGAGGATGACGAGACCCAAGGACTATAATGAGATAGCAGAGCGGGGGAAGGAATCTAACAAAGACAAGCTCTGTGTTGATCTCCTGGAGAGAGAAATGAGAAGAAATTCAATGTCTGTGAATGCATCTGATACATCGGAGTTAACTGCTTATGATTTGCATGTGAGACTTGATTACCTGGAAAATAGAGGTATAGCCTTCACTTACCTATGTCACTTTCTTTCACGGAGAATAGAGCTCTGCATATCATTGTACTTTGGCCTTATGCGACCAATAGATGTACATATATGTGATATAGGCTTTTTGCAAAGCAACATTGACTTACAAAAATAAAATTGCTGGATTGACAGTCTTATGAAATATGAAGCAATTTGACACGTAGTTCAAGAAAATCCTCTTCCCATACCACTTGTCAGGGATATAATTGCCGGATTGATAGTCTTAAGAAGCAATGTTTCCTATCTCTATAAAATTTTTGTGCCATAAATGTGGGAATAAAAAGTGTTCTCTTTTACGTTGCAGTTGCTTTCGCTAGGCTATTGTTTCCTGCTGAGGCTAAGGTGGCCATGGCTAATGCTCAGCAAGAGTCAACACTTGATCTAAATGAAACTCCTTCTATGAGAACCAGAAAACTCCAGTTAAGATTGCAAGCCCTCCTGAAAACAGGTATGCCAAACTCAAGTAGCTTTTTTTTTTTTCCCTTTAATTTTTTTTATGGACATGACTTATTCTGTTAACATCAAATTCCACTTGCCTGTCTAGTGCATCACATGATTCATCCGATTCTTCATCGAGGCGCAACTGGAATAAACATATTAGCTTAAACTTTGTATAAAAAAGATCCTTGTACTTTTAATGCACTTTCTCTTTAAGCTTAAACTGTTTCTTCTATTTACATTTCATTTTCATTTCACTGAAGCAGTATCTGTGGCTTTAGCTACTGAAAAATTTATTTATTATAGTCTTAAAACCATGTTTCGGAAGAAAACTGAATCTCGTGGTGTCCTAAGAAACCATTTGCATATGAAAATGTCCAAACAGAATAAAGATTTAATATAAAGCCTATGTTTTTCAAGATGATAACCACAGGCTGAATTTAAAGTTTTTGTCCCTTTCTTTCCAAGCCAACGCCCAATGGGAAAAGTACCTGGCTCACTGAAGTGGTGCCCAAGCTGTTGCCCTGGGATTTATGCTTCTGAACTTTTTAGCTATACAGCATATTCGTTGCTTGTTGAAATTTTTATTACGCTCTAGATTTTAATAAAACTATAAGATGTTTGAGAAACCTTGCGTCACTTAAATGGGAGAACTTGCATTGGTGAATCCTAAGTCCATGAACTGAAATTTGCAGTTTTTAAACTTCTTTATTTATTGCTTGGTAAATGCACATGTGGGATTGAGTCTGATGCAATTAGCAATAACGGATGACTCTCCCCAGAACAGAAAGTTCCGAGTGTTTTTACTAACTCTTGAGCATGTTTTGAAAATTTTCCACAGTTGAGAACGGCCGGCGTTTCTTTCCCCATTGCTCTGAGGTTCTTGATAAGTTTCTAGATGACGATATGCCAGATATTTTCTTCTTAGAGAAGGGTAGCGAACAAGAACAGAGAATCAAGAAGCAACGCTTCATGGAGCTCAAAGAGGATGTGCAGAAGGCATTTCATAAGGATATGGCTGAAACCAATGGTTCAGGTTTTTCCTCAGTTTCTTCCTCATCATCCTCATGTAAGAAGGGAGGTCTCAGCCAAAGAGTGAGGAAAAAGTGAAGTCCATATATGTATTTCTAGAGTGAGAAACAAAGCTGATTATATAGTTTTTGTTTCTCTGTATTAGGGCAAGTGTAGCAACTGTACCATAGTTTTGCCAATAAAATGCTATGTTTGCATAAATGAGGATCTCCTCCACCTGAACAGTCATGAACTAGGAGAGTAACATGGGAAAATAGGATTGTGTGCAGGTTCTATACACATCCTATTTCTTCCTCTCTGGGATTGTATTATATACAATCAATTATGACTATAGGGGATCCAAATTCTTATTTGCATCTGGGGTTTGATAATAGATTATGACCCAGGTTTATTTTTCTTCTGGTTTAAGGCAGTGGAAGAGTTTTGCTAGTAATGTACTTGAAAGTAATTTTATGATCACTTAGCATATGTGAAATGTGTCATTCCTCAGGATGCTTTTCTTTTGCAAAAGAACCATAATTATGGTGACTAAAATGTAACTTAATGGATTGTATATATGTTGTCTTTGTGGTTTCTGCTGAGGGAGTCAGTATTATTATGTGGGTTTCTGTGTGTTTGATAGTGTTGTTATTCGAGAGAGAGAAGCAAAACCAAAACTTTCGTATGATATATTCACGGTTTTCAGAGGGTTTTATGTCGACATGAGTCATCTTCTGCGCAATTAACGATACGCCAGTTTATCATGTACTACTAATTTTGATCTTTAATATAAAAGCTTGTTTAATTTTTATTTTAGTTATAAATGTAATACCTCAATCAATTTTGTTTCTCATATTTATCTATTTTTTTCAAACATAATCTTTATAATAATAGTAGTTCTGGCTAATATATATTTTAGAAAAACCACTTATTTTTTACAAATAACTAGCTTAATTAGTTTTTTTAATTTATTCAAATTAATTAACTAAATGTTATACTACCTTCGGTCCTAATTATAAGAGCCAGTTGACTAATTTGAGAAGATTAAGAAAGTAAGTTGAGTTAGTTATTTGTTCTAAATAGGTGTTGTCTTTCCTAAAATATCTTTGCTGATCAAGTGTATTAACTAGAACTATAATTATTAGAAGGTTTATCTTGAAAAAAATTGAGTAAATATGAGAGACAAAGTGGATTGGGGTCTTATATTTAGGACCAAAATAAAAGTCAAACACGGTCTTATATTAAGGACTGGAGGTAGTATTAAGAACGGAAGTTGTATTATGTTGTATGCTAATTTAAACCCAATCAAGTTGGAATCAAGCTACAAGTTAGTAGGGAACCCTACCCTTCGCCTTCGCCTCTTAATATGTTGGCCGTATGAGTGAATTAATATATGGGAAAATTTCACTGTAGGACCGCATAAGACAATTAATCTCAAAGAGCCCCCAAAACTTTCTGAAACCTCACTGCAGGACCAAGGGACCAATCTAATATTAATTCCACAAGCGAAATGACGCCACTACCCTTAACATCAGGTGAACCAGTCCACATGTGAACGGACTGATTCCACGTGTGAATATATGTATTTCTTCTACAAATTGGCTAGTTCTTCTTGCAAATACGATCTCCCCGCACTTGTTCCCTCACGGACACACGATTCAGGTGAACCAGTCCACATGTGAACGGACTGATTCCACGTGTGAATATATGTATTTCTTCTACAAATTGGCTAGTTCCTCTTGCAAATACGATCTCCCCGCACTTGTTCCCTCACGGACACACGATTCAGGTGAACCAGTCCACATGTGAACGGACTGATTCCACATGTGAATATATGTATTTATTCTGTAAATTGGCTAGTTCCCCTTGCAAATGCACTCTCTCGCACTTGTTCCCTCACGGACCCATGCTTCAGCTGAACCAGTCCACATGTAAACGGACTAATTCCACATGTGAATATATGTATTTCTTATGCAAATTGGCTAGTTCCCCTTGCAAATGTGTTCTCCCGCACTTATTCCCTCACGGACGCATGCATCAGGTGAACCAGTCCACATGTGAACGGACTGATTCCACGTGTGAATATATGTATTTATCCTGCAAATTGGCTAGTTCCCCTTGCAAATGCACTCTTCCGCACTTGTTCTCTCAAGGAAATAAGTTTCTACTAGGGGCAATGGCGTCATTTCATTTGTGGAATTAATATCAGATTGGCCCCTTGGTCCTGCAGTGAGGTTTCAGAAAGTTTTGGGGGCTCTTTGAGATTAATTGTCTTTTGCGGTCCTACAGTGAAATTCTCCCTTAATATATCTGTCGTTCTATCTCATAATTTTAAATATAAAGTAAATAATTAATTTATAGAGATTAAAAAAATTAGTTAGATTACTTATTTAAAGAGTCATATGAGACTATTGAATCAGAATTAAATTATTCTTCTGATAATTTGCAACTGGGATGAAATTAAAAAATGTTAATTAATAACACTCTTGGTGACTTGTATTACGGACCATGGATTTAGGGTCTGTTTGGCTCAATGAGAAGAAGGAGAGGGGAGGGATTTTAGGGTGTGTTTGGTTGGAGGGGAGGGGAGGGGAGGGAAAATGAGCCCTTCCCCTCATTTGGTTAAAAATTTTGGAGGGGAGTGGAGCTAAAATATCCCCTCCCCTCCCCTCCCCTCCCTCCCCCCATTTTGGCTCCCCTCCAAATTGGGAGTTTTTGGATGGGAGCCAAAATTTTGGACCATTATGTCCTTATGACTTTTTTAATATTCCATTTCTACCCATAAAATATATTATTATAATATTTATTTCAAATAAAAAATATATTATCCTAAGTAAAAAAAATAAAAAATATATACATTATTATAATTAAAAAATATTATAAAAATTATTTTAAAATAAAAAATATTTAAATAAAAAATTATAATATTATAAAATTAATTTTTTTTATAAATATATTATTTATTAAATATATTTTAAAGCTGGAAAAAAAGATAGCCTAAAGAAAATAAAATTTCATTTTTTTATAGCATATAAAATTTGTTAATTTGATTATTTTAAATATATTATTATATTAATTAGAATAAAAAATTACTATACCAATTTTTTAATACACATATTAACATGATAAGAATGAATTTTTATTAAATTATATAATTTAAATTAAGATGTAAATTAATTTATATAATATATCAATAAAAAACATAAACTAATATGTAAGGGTAAAATGGTAAATTGATTATTAATATCCCTCCCCTCCCCTCCTTGAACCAAACAAGGGATCATTAAATGCCCTCTCCTCCCGTCCTTTTTAATCAAACCAAACAAGGTGAGGATGAAACCTCCCCTCCCCTCCCTACCCCTCCCCTCCCCTTAAACCAAACAGGCCCTTAATAGGGGAAAGGAGAGGGGAGAAAAGTAGAAGGATTTTAATATTACTTTATTTGGATTTATAAAAAAAAGAGGGGAGAAGAGGAGTTTTAATATTACCTTGTTTGGTTCATAAGGAGAGGGGAGGGAAAAATATTTTGACATGGACAATTTTGCCCTTATTTTATTTAAGATTATTTTTGTCAAATTGTATAGGATGTTTAATAAAATAGAATTGTAAATAACATTTAATATATTGAGCAATATTTATACCAAAATTCTAATATACTCTAGAGCATGAAGTATTATTGAAAAGAAGAATGAAGTAATGTTCAGCCACAAATTGTACTGTATCCCATTTTTGAATGAAATATTTAGTCATACAAAATAAAGAGCAGCATCTGGAGACAAGAAGAAAATGATTTAGGGTGGTATAGGGATATTAAAAATAAATATAGACATCATAATCACAATATGACAAAATATTGTCTTTTCCCTCCAAATTTTCCCAATTTAGAGGGGAGGTTGAGGAGGGGAGGAGAGGAAAAATTTTTAAAATTTTTTTTCCTCCTCTCCTAAAATTTGTATATTGTGAAATAAGGAAAAATGATTAAAATCCTTCCTCCTCTCGGTTCTCCCCTCCAAATCAAACGCACCCTTATGATAAAAGGCACCTTATAATAGAAATTGAGGAATATGAGTATCTGTAAGATACTCTTTTTAATAATTTGTATCAAAAACTACAATATTGATAGGAAATTCTTAGAATATGTGCAATTAATAGTAATAGTTCAAAAAAATTACTCCCTCCGTTCCTTATTATAAGAGACAAATAATCGAAGTATGTTGATAAAAAAAAACAGTTAAAATTAGTTAAGAACAATTAATGTGTAAAAAGTATAATTTGTTTTCTAAAAATGCCCTCATTAATAAGGAAAGAGAGCATGAGAGAGAACAATTAAAATATTAAAAGAAAGAGAAGTGGGAGGGGGAGAGAGTGTGAGTTGGCGATAATAAATATGGGTAAAATAGGAAATCAACACAAAAAAGTAGAAACAACTTTTAAGTGTATCTTATATATAGGAACATACCATAAGCATCAAATGTCTCTTATAATAAGGAACGGAGGGAGTATAATTTTGAAAATAAAGTGGGATGACTAGCTATTGACATCTTATATTTAGAATTAAGACAAATATCTCAATTAATTGAAACTCGGGTTGCACAACGGATAAATTGGAACCTAACTTAAAGTTTGGTATGATTTTTAGTCAGGTTGAGTTTGACAGTCTGTGATTTGGTTCAATCCAGTAGTAACCCGAGGTCAGATTAGATTGGACTTGGTCCACCAGACTAGTGAGTGGTCTAGGTAGTCCAAGCTCCCAATTTTCTTTTTGTTTTTAATTTCTTTTCTTTATGGGAAGCAATATTTTAACATGATAAATACTATTAAGAAAATAAAAAATATCTCTAATCATATAAAACTCATCCTAAATTATTAAGACTTCATCATCAATACATAAAAAATCTCTAAAAACATTCAAAAAAATTAAAGGTAATATTTAAATTACAAATTATTGAAAAGTAAAAAATTCACCCAAACTAGATCGAACCGGTTTAGGTGGTCTAATTATTTGATTTAAAAATCAGTCTAACTTGACCAACCAGCCTAGTCCAGTCTGGTTTGATTATAAAGTTTGTTTGAATTGAACTGAACTGGATTATTAGGTTTTTACACATCCCTAATTGAAACAAACACTTTAACTAATTCTTATATTTAGAGTCAAGAAAAATATTATTTCAGTACAATGGTTTTAACATTAACAATAACAATAGAATGTACAAAAATCTTAGTGCATTAAATCATTAGAAACTTGTATATAAACTTAACTGAAATTAATAGTGTTTGCAGAACGGGCAGCATCGTGGCTCGTGCCCAATTTGATGACGTCCTTGAGTTATCTCAGAACAATTTAGAGGGTGTTTGGGAAACCCAAAACCATGGTTTCAAAAACACTTTTCTGCAAAACGAGATAATCTCCTTCACATATTTACTTCGTAATCCGTAAAAACACTTCTGAAACTATAATTTGGTTTCTATCCAAACACCCAGTATCACTTGCACATAGTCAGGCCATGTCAGACTATAAGTTGGTTCACTTAAAAAAAAAAAACCTTTAACAATGCAAAATAAAATTATTTTTACTTATCAAAATTACAATATTGGACTCTCTACAGCCCAAATAAATATGGCTACTG